ACTTAATAATTAAAATGTTACATTTGTTTTATTGTCGATTGCAATAAGAATATATTTTCTATCATTTGAACCACAGATATGGTAGACCGTAAGGTGTCTATTCGTACTCTTACTATAAATGTTTTAATTACTCTGAAACTAGAAATTAATGCAAGCAAGAAATTAATGCTTTAAATGTGACCGATCACAAGTCATTAATTTTAAATACACATTTTGTTCAGAAAGTAAAATGAAGTAGGGAAATGTTACACATATCACATAAATAGAAACGATCAACAGTAATTAATCATATGATGTACATGTAACAATGAAGTGGTTATCTGATAATTGTGGCCTGTGTTATAACTACATGTGCAAGGAGATTCCCTTTTTAGCCATGAATAGGGCACAGTAGATTACAATGATGTAACACCCCACCCCACCCTCCTTTTGGCATTTCATGCGGAATTAATTTCTTTTGGTACAATACAGTTTATGAATTTGATAGCTATGTGTATGTGTAGATAACAAATAGTAATAATAAATCATGTAATTAAACAACTTCCATAATTTGATTCTTTCATCACCTCATTAGCTGTATATAATCAGGAAGTTGAAAAGAGTTTATTATTATTCGTCTGTAAATGGCAATCAATAATTGATTATTCAGTGTCTTGTAGCAAGGAGAATAATGGAATCAAACTCCAGACAAGCTTATTATATGTGTACATCAGACCATTGAATGTATTATACATGTAATTTGAGAGACCTAGTTCTCAGGTCATTGTCTCTCATGGTATATTTAATCAATTGATTTTTATACATGTGAGCCATTAGGTCTTTGTGTACACCAGATAAAATACACCTAGCCACACAGGCAAACCTAGAGTCATTTATCTTAATAATTCAGTGGACTTACATTTATCAAGATTACATTAATCAACTGGTGAATCATATTATGATGGTGGGGATGGTTTTTCAAATTATTGTGATAATTCAGTCAAAACAGAATCACACAGATCTGTAGGTCAAGGATTGAAATTTACCAGTGATATTCTAACTTAGCTCTGACACCCAAAGTAAAGAAACAAATTTTATATTATTCTTGCTGTTATAGACAGTCTCTGATACAGAGTGATTTGTCAGGCATTATGCAAGAACAATGTACCTGCAAAATAAGCCCCACTCCCATCCATTCTCAAAACAACAGATTCTTTGAAACTAAATATTTCTTTGGAGTTTTGATACTTTGATAGTGAAATGTTTTGCTTTCCTGTCGATAGTTCTCCAGCATAAAATGTTTCTCATAGCGAGTGCTACCAGAAACTATGAAAGGAAGCATTAGATTTGCTTACCAGGTACATACATGTACAAACAGTATACATGTCATCAAATCATCTCATGTGAATAATTGTATTAGACTACTGGTACATTAATAGACTATTCTTACAGCAGATAATGACCAGACAACATGAGTTCATGGTCACACCTCAATTAAATTAGACATGGTTGGTGGATTTCTTTGTGGATTTTTGTTTTTAAAAGATACACAATGTACATAGTACACCTGGCAAAGATAAAAAGATGGTCCTTGCACAGTAGCATGTAAAACTCCATTTTGTTTCATCTTTCTATTTGTATTTAACTACCTGAATCAACATTTTAAAATTTGAAGGAATCACTGACCTCCATGATTACTGTTATTAAATTCAAGGAACCACCCCACAGTAAAGCTGATTAATTATGTTAATTCTTAGAATAATTTATGTATACATATAATTTCGTCTGAAGCTGGGTGAAAGTTCTTCAGGATTTTCCTGCGTTGTTTCACCAGGACAATGGTGCAGGATTGTGGGGTGCGGGGCTAGGGCTGGCGAGGAACAGCATCTACCATAGTGATTTGACTGGATGACAAACCAAGGCCTGCATGCAAAAGAACCATTGACAGTTGGAATCTGAATTAAGAGTAGGCAGTTGCTCCGATGTTCAGACAAACTTTCCCTCATCCTGTCTATTTTAGCCCGGTTGATGCTGAAAAACAGGATATTGAAACCCATTTCATTTTATTTATTGGTGATTTAATAATGCTTAATATTTTAAACTGGAACTTTCGAACATTACATACAGTAATCTTTTCATTTGATTTTGGTTTGTAATTACATGTAAGCCCACTTTTATCAATTTATTGTATATTTGGGACAACTCCATTAATAAATTGTACATTTCCTCTCTGCTGTGAACATTGTTGTGCTTGTACATGTACATGTACATGACTTTTCAATGCCACCTTTCCAAGATACATATACATGTACCATTGATGCATACCCTGTTCATTCAAGGTGAACATTGTTGTGCATGTACATGAATTTTCAACCCCTCCTTTCCAAGATAAATACATGTATATGTGTATAATAGGTTTCAGTTTATTGTTCCGCGCCTTTCGAAGAAAGCATGGTACTATTAAAATGGGTCCATCCATCCATCTGTCCGTCATACTTTTCGGGAAACAATAACTCTCCTAATTGAGCTAGAATGTTCAAACTTGGAGCTTGAATGTTACAATTTATTGTTCCGCGCCTTTCGAAGAAAGCATGGGTGTATTAAAATGGTTCTGTCTGTCCGTCAGTCTGTCTGTCCGTCATGCTTTTTGGGACACAATAACTCTCCTTCTGATTGAGCTAGAATGTTTAAACTTGGTGTATATTCATTAGGTGAATGTCTTGACGGAGTTCAATGATTAACATTTTCTGCTAAAGCTAGGCAGAGCTAAGCAAATTCATGGATCCATGCTTTGGAGAGTGATGAAATTTAGTGTAGAGTTACACCACCAGGTACTTCAAAACCTTGTCTGAGATCGATCATGAACATTTTATGCTCAGACTAAGTATAGACTGAAAAGTTCTAAGCCTATATGTGAAAGACCTGTACAAAGTCGATGGTTTCCCTTAATTTTTCTACATAGTCCCCTTCGAAGTGTACACACTTTTGCTAACGACTTTGCAAGGCCACCACAGCTGACATGCCGTTATCATTACTAGGAAAATGATGTGATGGGACGTCAGGAATCTGACACGTTTCTGATCCACGATCAAGAGCTTTGGCACCCAATGGCACCCATCTTGCAGAAACTTTTGTCATTCCTAACTTGTTGGCGATAATGTGCTGAACCCTCTCATGGGAGATGGCTACAACACTAGCAATACATGTATGTCAATTGGTCAGTCATCAACATGTCGTGCACCCGGGTAATGTTTTCTTGAATGGTTGCTGTTGATGGCCTTACAGGACGCGGGTTATCGTCAAGGCTCTTTCTGCCATGCTTAAATTCCACAGCCCACTTCTTTACTGTGGAGACCATGTCAGCATGTATCTGTGTTAGGGTTAGTCCTTTCAGTTGCAGGTACATGACTGCCCAATAGCCAGTTTTGTGCATTTCTTGTGATTTCAATTGGTAGGTTCACAATGGGTAGGTTCACAAGATAGTCTGGTACAAAGACAATAATAACACTACAGTTCTTATGTCTATGATTTATTCAATGATTGTATGTTTTGGTGGCAAAAGTTTGTTTCCACCCAATTGATCTACATTGTATCGTTTTCAGGCTTAGAACTTTTCAGCCAGTCCTCATAATCAGCTTGATTGCTTGATACTTTTCAAAAAGATAAATTTGTAATTAATATGTGTCATCTATCTATCTTGGGATTGCAGCAGTAGACATCTGAGCTAACTGTTGACTTGTTGTAATTACCATTCAAGTTTCTATGTATACATTTTGAATGATTTTTCTTGTGCAAAATTGTTAATTTTTTGTCTGAATGAATAATTATTTATTTTTAGCTTACATTTACTATATGTAAATATGAGCTACATGTATAGTCATGTCAAGGTCAATGGGAATAATAGCCTGTGCAATGAATACTTAATTTTGAAACGCTCTGTAGTTGCACATTGAATAGCTACAGTGATGTTGTGATCTTACCAGGAAAAGGCAGGCTTCTGATATCCAATATTTAAGACAAAATAAACATGTTACCATTGGTACACGAATCGTGTATCATAGTTTGTTTTAGTGTCATTTGCAACAAGTGACCAGAAAGAACGAGGCTAGACATATTCAACAGGAGAGCCTGCTTAATAGACTGGAATAACCAGACGCTAGAAATTGCTATAGGGTTGAGACCCATGCTGTATTTGGCTAGACATAACTGATTTGAAATTAGAGTCAAAAAGGAAACAATTGAATGTAAATCAGTTTATATACAATCAGATTACATTATTATATGCGTTTCGACCCATTTGGGTCAATTTCTAGGTCCTAAAATTAGCGATTTAGCTCCTTTAAGATTTGTAATACATGTATATAGTTTGTGGTTGCATTGTATACATGTATGGTATTATTTTTGGCAACAAATATATATTTTCCTGGCTGTTGATGTTGTTAAAATAAGTTTCCATTCAGTTATCATATTTATCACCTCAATAAGTCCAAGAAACATGCTTTAAATATAGAATGATAAAGGAATAAGTTACCAGTAGTTGTAATGCCATGTATTAAAATTGGGCTTTTCTTGTAAGACAGGACTTAATGGCCTCAATCAGACTATAAGCTTCATTACTGACACAAATACTCTTCCTATCCATTCACATCAAATTGTTCTATTAATGATGTCTGCTTCATTCCTCCACTTTCATTCCCATCATGGCAGACAGATTTGTAGAAGATACTAATATAAGAAAATGCACAATTATTCCACTAATTACACTTATGAAGACCAAGGTACATGTATATGAAGAATTTTATGTAGAAGACAGGGTTGTAAAATCATTTTGAGTTTGGGATGAAAATGTGATCCCATTTAGCTAGAGCTCTTGTTTAGGATGACGGTTGTAGGTCAATGACTGACTGACACATGAAACTCTGAAATCTGTATTTGGTGTAGTATTTTTGCATTGATATTACAGCAAAATATGGCACATTCATCTTTCTTTAATATTGGACAAATTTTGTTTTCTTTTTCAGTTGTTCTTGTAACTGGTGCATCAGGTTATATAGCTACACATGTTATTAAACAATTACAAGAAGAAGGTTATAGAGTGCGAGGAACAGTGCGAAGTTTACAAGATGAAAATAAAGTTAAACACTTACATGCTTTATGTCCAGAAGCTCAATTTAAACTTGAATTAGTGGAGGCAGATTTAACTAAACCAGAATCTTGGGAAGCGTAAGTTAACTTATTATTAGCGATTCAATTGTAGGCTGGCCTCGGTCATCATTGCTACCATTGGTACATTGATCAACAAAGTTTAGATTATCCATTTTTACATTAAATTATCCATCACTAAACATATTCAAATCCACTAAATATCGCAGGGTAAGTTAATTAACGTCTAATTAATAATTTAAGGCCTAAAGAAGGACCTGCAATAGTCAGATTTAGCTCTTGCATAATGCATGTTTAATCACAAAAATGCATTTTATGAAAAAATTGTTTCCTTTGAGACAGGGTAGCTCGGACTTAACTTGCTCCAGTTGGCTATATGTTGTTAACGGAACAAAGTAATCTTACTCTTTACAGAACATCTAATGCCACAGTAATTTTGTATCATAGCCTCAAGAGTTATAACTATTGAGGCAGGGTATGGTTACAGCAACTCTGGGCCCTTATTCACGAAAACTTAAACTAAGATAAAATCGAAATTTTAAGAAATACTGCAATTCGATTGGCTGACCAGTAAAATCAATTTGCATATATCCAATGAAGTTGCAGTATTTCTTAAAATTTTGATTTTATCTTAGTTTAAGGGCCCTGATTTTTAGGAGAAGTGTACAGGGCTAAATATTCCTGTTATTCTATTCTGTGGTTGGCAATAACACTATTGTCATTCTTATTTCAACACTAATTCTAGTATTTGAACTATTTTTTTTTTTTTTTTTAGAGCTGTAAAAGATGTGGTTTATGTGATACATATTGCTAGTCCATTCCCTGCTGCTGCTCCTAAAGATGAGAATGAAATCATACAGCCAGCTGTAGAAGGAACACAGAATGTCTTTAAAGCGTGTGTTGATGCTAAATCTGTTAAAAGAATTGTATTAACTAGTTCATGTGCTGCTGTTGCTTGTAAGTATATGTAAAATTTATTTTAGTCTCCTAATTTGTCACATATTTGTGATACGGGTGTAAACCTGAACATTGTCAAATTTTGATACCAAGTTTAGAATTAAACTGATAACAAGTCGACATTTCATGTGCAGTATATTGTCGTCATCCCTGACTGTCCCTCCACAATAAGGGTATTATTGTATTGTGAGACGTGATTCTTGTTTATGTTATTTTGTCGCTTCAGTAAGTAACCTGTCACTCTTAATTATCCATGTAACATATTATCCACAGATACACAAACACTCCTAAATTGTTTTGGTCCATATTTTGATCTGTCGGCCACAACACAGGCACTTGAAGAGATAAGATGAAACGTCTTACTACTGCTTGACTATATATTACAGTATTAACAGACAAACAAACATTTCAAGCCCTGGACAGTACATGTACATTAATTGCAATTTGTGACTCCAGTAAAATTTCAATTATTCATTTATCCTGTTCAGCACTAATGTTATTGGGTTATGTTAATATACATGGCAAATATGTGACAAATAACAACAATATTCAAGTTTAAAAAATGATATATTAAATTAGTTAATTTATTTCATAGGCTAATTAAAAATTATAAAAAAAAAATTGTAACATGCAATTCTTTATATTATAGGGGAGACAGCCGGTACAAGTAAAGATAAAGTCAATTCAGAAGAAGATTGGAGTGATGTGGAGAAATTAGATGCTTACTCTAAAAGTAAAACACTAGCAGAAAAAGCAGCATGGGATTTTATTAAAGAACTTCCAGGTTAGTTATTTAAACATTCAGTCCTAGTTAACCTGGCCAAATTAAGGTATATGGTGTTTATAGATTATTATGCAGGAAGATTTGCATATTGAGATTCCAAATCTATATTTATTGAAAATAATGTTAAAATCAGAACATTTTGTTCTACCTCAGTACCTCACTTTAATTGGTTTATGCTGAAAATGAAAGAATATATGAATTGTAATATTTTTTTTATACGCCCACATTTTCATGTGGACGTATATTGTCATTGCTCCTGACCGCCTGTCTGTCCATCCACAACTTGTTTGCAGACACTCTACAGGTCACAATTTTTATCCAATTTTGACGAAACTTGAAATATAGGTCTATCTCCCAAAGATCTCGGTTCCTTTCAATATTGGCATGTATCATCGGACGGTAACTTTGTGGATTATAGCACCTGATTGTACGAAAAATCACATCTTTAGCTTGTGGACACTCTAGAGGTCACATTTTTGATCCGATTTTGATAAAACAATGTTTATAACCCAAATATCTTGTTTCCTTTCGATATTCGCGCATATCGGATTGTACCTTCCTGAATTTTGTTTAGCTTGTTCTCTATCCATCTCTTGAAAAATGTGGGTGTATCCTGCCTGGCAGCCGCTGGTTTCCCTTCCGACCAACTATACAGTGTCCCTTGCCAGGCCCTCTCACACTGGCCAACATTCTTGGCCAACACTGGAATTGAACACAGGATCTCCAGGTTAGCGAGTCAACATCTTACTCAGTGAACCACTGCAGGTCCCCAGTTCCAGATACATTATGAAAGTGTGGTTACTTTCTATTTTTCAATCAACAATTATGGAATACTACCCCCGGTGGCTAAGTGGGTAAGACGCAGGCTCGCTAGCCTGAAGGTCAGGTGTTCAATCCCTGTATTGGCCGAGAAAGGACGGAGAGTCTGACAATGACAGCTGTCTAGTTGTTCGGATGGGACGAAAAACCAAGGTTCCGTGTACACATTGGCGTGCACGTAAAAGATCCCTTGACAGTTAGAATTCGATATAAGAGTAGGCCGTAGTGCTGCTGTCCGGGCAAAATTTCCCACATAGCACACTGTATGGCATATGCCCATGTTCATTAGCCCAGTTCGGAGCAGAACAGTAGGACGTTAAACCCCATTTCATTTCATTTCATTTCATGGTTATAACCCACAAATCTTGGTTCCGTTTGATTTTTTCATATATCGGATCGTAACTTCCTGAATTACGGCCCTTGATTGTAAATAATGAAGATTGAATTTGAATTTCGGAAAAACTGAAATGAAACTGCCCAACAAAATGGCCGCTCGTATGTAAATTGTGTAAAAGTATGTAATACAAAGGTTGTGGACCCTTTAGAGGTCACAATTATTATCAGATATTGATGAAACTTGATATGTATGTTCTTAACCCAAAGATCTCGGTTCCTTTCGATATCCGTGCATATCGGACCATATCTTCCTGGATTATGGCCCCTGATTGTACAAAAAATCACATTATTTTTTTAGCTTGTTCTCTGTCCATCTCTTGCAAAATGTGGGCATATCTTGCATGGCAACCACTTGTTCATATTGAAAGAATCGTGACTCCAATGAATTTAACAAATCCTAAAAGTACCCCCTCTATAACAGAAATTTATGGCTTTTTAAAAAATGCTCCCTTACATGGAGAAGTACAATGGAGCCTTTACATTTCTTAGCAAAAGGGGAAGTAATTTATTGATTTAAGGATGCATTTAAAAGATAGCCAAACTAACATGTGTGCATACAGAAACAATTATAAACACATTCATTTTATTTCAGATTCAGATAAAATAGAATTAGCTGTTATTAATCCAAGTTATGTGATGGGCCCTGTTCTTTCTGGATCAAACTGTACTAGTATGGAGGTAATACTTGAATTAAATACCAATATTATAGTCTAATATACCCACATTAATCACAATATAAAGGATCATATGTTTAAATGGTTTCTCACTGTGAATTTAATTGCTTTTAATTGATTTATGATTGAAAATTGAAAGGATTGGGGTTGAATAAAATGCCCCCTCTTCGGGCAGGAAAGGGAGAGGGGGGACAAATAGACCTAGTGGACGAATTGTCTGGGGAAAAATTGTCCACGGGGACGAATTATCTGGGATCAAATAGTCCTAGGGGATGAATTGTCCTTGGGCGAATTGTCTGAGGACGAAAAGTCCCAGGGGACAAATTGTACAGGAACGAGTTGTCCAGAGCTGGATTGAAACTTTTCCAATATTTGATAATGAATAAAATATCAAGAATCAAGAATGGTTGGATTTTATGTAAATGTATCAAGAATGATTATATGAAATGAAATGAAATAGGCTTCAGTGTTCTACTTTCCTGTACCATATTTTTATTTCTAGATTGTAAAGAGGCTATTAGAAAGGGCCATGCCTGCTGTACCTAAGTTGAATTTCCCTGTTATCGATGTACGAGATGTGGCTACAGCACATGTTAAAGCGATGACATTAGATGAAGCTGTTGGTAAGTAATTAAAGAAGACAGACTTATTAAAACTGATGACAAGAAAGACAACCAATTACTAATTTGAAAAGCTGAAATTTTAAACACATAAATTCAGTTTTATTACATCTGTTAGAGAAGTGGTTTGAAGGTCCAAAGTTTCATTGGTTTGTCACCAATAATATTGAGTCGGGTCACCTGCCAATCCATATCAAGCTTGAGTAGACAATAATATTTGTAATTGAATGGGCCATGGTTAAAGGCATTTATGGTATGTATGACAAGATATTACTCAGTGGCATGGCAGATCCACTGTGGTCCCTTCCTTATATATATATATTGTTAATAAACAGATTACATATTTAGAGTTAGTAACAAAGTGCCCAAAGTTAAAGGTTGACAAAATGGTTAACAATATGTCATTTCTAAATTGAATCCCATGATTTTATGTGTTTCTATTTAGCCTTAAGTTTTCTCCATACTTCCTATAATTTTATTGATGGTCATGAAATTTCAGGTAAAAGACATCTAATTGTTAACAGTAATGTTTGGATGAAGGAAATGGCTCAGATTCTTGCTAAAGAATTTAAACCACAAGGTATTTAACCTGCAACAGCAAGTGCATGGTTGGAATGCCTTTAATGGAATAGTTATTTATGTTTGCGCCTTTCATGTTTTGTTTATTTTATGGATTTATTTATGTGTATAATTATTATGAATGACATTTACAGTATATTACAAGTAGTCATTTCTTTCTGGTGTTTTTTTTTTTTTTTTTTACCTCAACTTAGACATAGTTTTTAGCAATATATCGATTTTAAAAAACAGTTAAAGGTTAGAGTGTTTTCAGACAGTTACACAAAAAAATATAAGTATAGATATTGTGTTTAAATGTTAAATTCTGTCAAATTAATGATTATTAGATGTAAATTACTGACAGGTTAATTTATAATCTATGTAGTCAGTATGAAACAAGAGACATTGTCTGTACAGAATCAATGTTAAGTTGAATCCTATCAGCATCACAATTTATATAATAATTGTTCAAAAACTGACACATTTGACGATCCAATTAAAAATTTCTGCACCTTTACAATTATTCACAGAGGTTCAGGTGGAGCCTTGAATATGGAGGAAAGAAAAGTACATGTATGTTGGAAATGTCATTCATATTACAGGGTTGAAATGTTATTTTGCATGTTGATTGCATGTTATTTTTTTTGCTGCTACAGGCCATCGACACATTATTTCTCATGAAAATATGTATATGAAAGAAATGGCACTTATTTTAAAAGCTGAATTTGAATCCCAAGGTTTGTTTGATATTAGCTTAGCTTTATATATTTTTGGTTTAATTTTTATGCTTCTTTATGCTTTCATTATTTAATTAGGATTATGGTTTTAATTTGATTTATTACTATTAGAAATATGGTATCACTCTCACCATCAAAGTGCAATTTTTTTTTTTATATTGAATATGTTCATAAAACCCAAGAATCACCTGATTATTGGAAATTTCAACTACAGAGTAAGGTTCATATTCATTTGGACGTATATTTTCGTCGCCCCTGTCCGTCTGTTCACATTTTGTTTGTGGATACCCTACAGGTCAAAATTGTTATCCAAAATATAGTTTTATATCCCAAAGATCTTGGTTCCTTTCGATAATTGCGTATATCGGACCATCGGATTATGGCTTATTTCTGACTGCGCAAAAATCCTGTTTTTAGCTTATGGACCCTCTAGAGGTCACAATATTTATCTGATTTTGATGAAACTTAAAATGTATGATTATAACCCAGAGATCTTAGTTCCTTTGATATTCACGCATATCCAACCATAACTTCCTGGATTATGGCCCCAGATTTTACAAAAAATTGTGTTTTTAGCTTGTGGACCCTCTAAAGGTCACAATTTTTATCCAATTTAAAAAAACGTTCACATGTATCACCGTTACACCCTAATGACGGTTGAGTTCGAATTTCATGAAAATCAGACCTAAATTGCCCAACAAAATGGCTGCTTCTCGTACATAATTAGTGTAAAAGTATGTCATACCAAGGTTGTTGACCTTCTAGAGGTCACAATATTCATCTAATTTTGATGAAACTTAAAATATATGTTTATATCCCAAAGATCTTGGTTCCTTTCAATATTCATGCATATCGGACTGTAACTTCCTGGATTATGACCCCCCTGATTTTACGAAAAACTACATTTTATACACCGTTGTACCTAATGAAGTTTGATATATCACAAAAAACTGGGTTCGTTTTGATACTTGCGCTTATCAGACTGCAACTTCCTGGATTAAGTCCCCAGATTATACGAATCTTGTTCTCTGTAAATCTCTTGCAAAATGTGGGCGTATCTTGCATGGCAGCCACTTGTTGTCAAGCATTTGTTAAACTACTTGAAAACCGCTATTTGTCCCAAAATGCATACAATTCAATTTGAACACAATGTAGCTTTGAAGTCAAATCAGGTCAAATCAAAAATAAAATCTTTTATCAACCATCGATTATCCCAAAACTTTAAATATGTTTTATATGCTCACAGATCATTTTTGTCAAAATCTACAGTTTTATTCATCAGGGAAAAGCATCTTTTTATTTTTATTTGTGACAACATTTTTTTAAAACATTTTGGGATAATTGTTCAACCAGTGAACTGTGATGCTTTTTGCCTCCCTCTACTTGCTCCTTGGACAGCTTGGATAATAAGGCTGTTGGAGATACTTTGAAAATGGAATTACATATAGGACGATTACATGTATAATGTATACAGATACAAAATTTAATCAGCTGACTTAAAAAAAATTACGGTACCTTTAAAACAGAATTCTTTCTTTCTGCATTATGGTTATGCAATGTTATACATGGTTAAATTTATTTCATGTAGATTTCATGCTATAGTGGAATAATATGTTTTTAATTACCAGAATATAAATTTTGAATACCAGTATTTTGTAAATACATGTATACTGCATGCTGTGTTTTGACATGTTTCTAAAATGATGAACTAGCTGTCTGATGCGTTTTCTAATTACTACTAATATAATCAACATAAAATATTATTACTAACTAATCTTGTATTGCGTTGCCCGAGTAAAACAGCATGCTTATTGGGGCTATAGTGCAACTCTTACTATCTGAAGTCTTATTTTAGCTATTTTCAGTTTCTCATTTATAATGCTTGACAATTATAATAAACCAAATATCAATAAATCTTCTATAATATAAAAGTATTATCTATACTTTATTTTATTTTCAGTCTACTATTATACTAAGTGTACTACCATTTCACTTTAATATTTTCTTCAAATGTGGCTTTAGCTAAAATATGCCTTACTGTGCTATAAATTTGTACAGATTTGGACAGTAGTGCTGATTTTGTCAGCATCGAACTTTCGTCAAATAAGAGCATTTTGGATATGAGAAATACAGATATGAATAAAATTATCCATTAATGTTCCAATGCTCCTTTCTTGTGTACTCTCAGATTCATTTAATTCCAATTTCACAGACTAAAGGGAAATAACCCTGCTAGTTGTGGGTGAAGTCGATAATGGTAATATGTTATGTTTTATAGGTTACAGTGTTCCCACAATGAACTGCCCGTACTTTGCTCTATGGCTTTCTAGTGTATTTGATAAAACACTCAAGCTTATCTTGCCTCAAGTTGGTAAAGTCCACAGATTTGATAATACTAGAGTAAGTATTTAAACCAGCAATCTACAATGTACATATAAAAAGAATTTCAGATTATACACAGTGAATATTCTAATGACATAATTTAAAAAATCTTGTAGATGTGCCAGAGCCTAAATTTATTAAAGTGTTTATGTTAATAAGATGAGAAATGCTATTGATCTTCAATGATTTACAATAATTACTGTCTGAGTTATGGCCCTTGATCAATAGAAAACATTTTGTGAATGGTTTTAAGTTATCCAATTGATTTCAAATTTATATACATTGTTTATGTTGATAAGATGAAGAGAGCTATTTTTTTTCGATGATTTCTGATAATTACTGTTGGAGTTATTGCCCTTGGACACTCCAGTGATAAAGTTAACAATCAAATGATTTGAAATTTATGTTGATTAGACAAAGAATCTGATAATTACTTTCAAAGTTAATATCCTTAATCTTTATCGTTATTTAGTGTCTTTTAAATACCCCTATTAAATATGCATTATGTAAGAGCTAAATCTGCCTATTGCAGGTCTTTCTTTAGGCCTTAAATGTTATATAAACTATTAATTAGACATTTATTAACATGACAAGACCATAATTGACTCAGATGTCATCGGATGCCTCAGATTTAAACATATTTGAATCCGATCTGTTATTCAACAGCTGTTATGATTAACCGTAAAAATGGATAATCAAGTCTTTATTATGGTAACAATGACAATCGAGGCTACCGTGAATTTGAAATGAGAATTTCTCAGCTCAGAGTGAATTTATTTGACTGAAATTTTCAGTATATTCCATTTACATTATCTACTTTTTAACTATTATAACGAGAACTGTCAGCTCTTTATCTAATCTTCCATAATGCTGGTTTAATTACAAAAAAATAAATATTGTGCGAAAACCATTGTGGACCTCTAGAACTTCAAATCTACTGTGGATGTATATCTTAAATATATTTATGCTGATTTGGATTGGTTATTATGAATCAATATAGATCTACATGTATTATTTATTTTTTAGATGAAAGAAGTTTTGGGAATTCAGCCAAGAGATACCAAAGAAATGCTAATAGATATGGCTTACTCACTCATAGAGGGTGGCTTTGTTAAGAAAACAAAGAAATATACAGGGCCTGGGGGAGCTCAGTCCGAAGAAGAAACTAAGACAGAAGAGGCTAAGGAAGGGGAAAAGAAAGATGGGGAGAATGGAGATGTGAAGGTAAAGGAAAATGGAGAAGTTAAAGAGGACCAACCTGAAGGAGAGAAGGAGCCAGAGAAGACTGAAGAAAAGGAAGCAGAAAAAGTGGAAGAAAAGAAAGAAGAAGAAAAGAAAGAAGAAAATCCAACACCTGCTCCAGCTACTGAAGGTGAAGAAGCCAAGAAGGAATAAGATATCTTATGTTGTAAATGTGCTTTTATCACTTTCTATCTATTGTAGGCCAATAATACTAATGCTGTATTATTTTTTATTGTGCAAATTGTGAAACTAAGAATGTAGGATATATGAGGTGATCATAGTATTTTATTATTTTTTTTCATTTGGAAATTTTAACTTTAGACCAGATTTTACTGTAAGGTTTCTTCATGTACTTTTTGTGTACAGTACCTTTTACAAATATTTTCCTCTATGTGAGGAATTATCAATTTTCAAACTATTTATACTAATATACGGTTACAACTTTGTTTGACCTTGATTACTGATCAAATTGGATTTTAGGAATAACAAATGTTATGTTTCATCATAAATTAAAATAGCAGGTTGATTGAATATAGAGATGATTGTTACATTTTGGTTGATGGGCACAAAAGCAGTTAACTATCATATTTCTTTATTCATATTTTATATAGACATTTTCTTTTAAAACCAGTGATGTTGGCTTATTATGTAGTGATACTAAGTGTTATTTTTAGAAGCATTTTAACAGTATTAAATATGTCATAAGTGTACATTAAACCCAGCCATGTAAAATATATTTATTTCTTTGCAACCTAGATCAACATCTTATGTTTGTCAGCCTCCACATGTATTATATAGGTCTGAAAAGTTCAAAATTTTAAGTAGTCGCTACGTTATCCAAAACCTGAAGTGTACAAGGGTTCAGTCATAACAGTGGTTAAAAATATGTTTTACAAGAATAACTAATATCCTGATATCAAATATTAGTGATCTTTTCAGGCCTATATTTATGGTAGAAAATGTGTTTTTAATAGAACAAATGCCAAGAGGTTATTAGTAGGCTTATAAAGTCATAGTCATATGTAGCAATCAGACTTTCAACCATTGTGTTTTTCCAAGAAATAGCCAGTGATAACCACAATGTCAGAGATAAAAGTTAACTAACTATAAAATTGAATGAGAATGGTTCAATTGCCATGAACAGAACATTTATACACTGAATTGTATAGTCAGTGATTTTATGACTACGGTTATCGAGGTGGTTGATAATTTGCTGTGTGTAATTTTAGTAAGATATTACATTGTAATTATACATGTACATTATCCTTTTATTTTATTTGTCAACTTAAAATTGAATGTGGAATAACTTTTATAAGTATATTGGCTTTCCTCATTACAGGATTGATCACTTTCTGAGAAAATAATTTTGTGCAATGAAATGATGAGATTAATTTTAATTTCTTTTTCTTTTTTTGGACTTTGTAGCAACAACAAAAAAAACTTGAAAAATCTTTGATACTGTTGATTTATATTAATTTTTAATGAATTTGCTCAATTTAAATTTGACTCTACCTTTAAAGTGATTTTTGATATTTAAATAGTCCAGATCATAGAAACAAAACATCCCATAAATGTTTTGAAAAACCTGATTACCGGTACATTATATTTCATCATGCACAATCACAATACATAAAGTATCTTCAAGCACAAAAATGAAAAAGAAACCACACCAACTTTTGTACATGTACAAAAAGTTATGTTGCTATTTATGTAAAGCTTGAACATAATCTGCCTTGTATATAGCAGAAAGGGGGCAGGTGTTGTTATTGTATATAATATGTTCTGCCAACATTTTCTTTTTGTAGCTTGATATTTTTAGTTGAAATGTCTATCCCCTTTCTGCCCCAGTCGTTGCCTTTTTTCATGGTTGTTTGTTAAGGTTATGCATTGAGGTTATCTTTTTTATACATTTAATCATTATATCTCAGTGCTGTTCATTATTTATATGTTTTTAAGGGCATATACCAATTCAATAGGATTATCAAATATTATTTTATAAAGTCTGTGTAGCTTGATTGAGATTTAAAGGGTCTTTTACTTAAAATAATAGATTGATGTGAAACTAAAAACTCTATAAATGACAAATAGATGATAAATTTCAGCTCAAAAATTCAGATTTTGTTGCATTATTGGATTCAACTGGGGTTGCATTTACAATAAAACTCATATACATAGCTCTCTGAAACTGTTTATGTACTTTCATTTATAATCATGTACTTAGTACTTTATCTCGATGAAAATATGTTTTGTGTTCGAATATGTGTTCTTCATAAACCTACTATTATTCATGGAAATTTTTTTAAAGGGTTTCTCCAATATTCATCATAAGGGTTACTTAGGGACCACCAATTCGATAATTAAAACATTTCTTGGCTGACCGTAATGTGGTAATAATCATATGTATAAATAATAATGTATGAGAATAATGTTAAGTCTTGTTTCTTTACATAATTTTGTTTATTTGTGCCATATAACTGAACAACATGTAATATTCAACATTTTATGTGTAAACACTATTATATTTCATACTGCTTTTTATATTACTTTCACTCTTGCCATATGTGTACTAAATTGATGAAGCCTGTATATTTTTTTGCTAATCTATTTTGTATACGTCTGATATCTTTGTTTACTTACCTTTACATTCTATATTTACATGCGCAGAAGAACTTCATCTTTTATTAAAATGTTGCAATGTCAGTATTTGTATAAATTATATTTAATACATTAATGTTGACATTCTATATTGTCAAAATATTCTGATGTGGCACTGCCAGATTATTGAAAATATTTGCCTTAAATGTACATTTGTATGTCTTATTATATTCGTGTAGATGCAAAGGCAATAGGGTAAAATTACTCGCACTAAATTATTGTTCATTACTACTCATACATGGACGGAGGAGGGATATTTAATTATAAAATACATGTATTTATCACTAGGCTTTGTCTTTTTTAATATATCTTTTGATCATACTTATACTTGTAAAATGTATCTTTAAATATGTGACCCTTTTATAGAATGGAGCTATTTTACCCTATTGCTTCCAACTGGTCTTTGTATTTCTCCGCTGAATTCATTGCTCTATATATTATCAAACAACTGCTCAATGGAAACGCATATTTGTCAAATAAAATTTTTCATTTGAAAAGAATTTCTTTATGTTTTAATTATAAACCAAAGATTTAATCAGAATGGAGTGTATGTTATTAAAAGAAGAAATAAAGTATTCCTTTAAGATGTTATTCACAAGAATATCATTTTGTTTGGGAACTATAAGAACTATGGAAGTGTGGTATTATACGCCAACATGGGAATGTGGTCGTATATTACAATCGCCTCCATTTGTTCATCTGTCCGTTGTCCACTATTGCTTGTAAACACTCTACAGACTACATTTATTATCTGATCATTGTGAAATTTATATATGTTGTTGACATTAGTGAGACAAAGACTATTTAATGTCAACAATTTCCGTTAATTACTTCTAGAGTTATGATTTTTGTTTCACTTTATAGAACCCTGTCAACTAAAGTTATCATTCGATTTGTACTAAATTTACATACATTATTAAAATGAAGAATTCTAGTGAATTTCAAAAATTGCTGTTAATTACTTCTACAGATATGGTCCTTGTTTCTCTATCGACAAAAGTTATGATCTGATCTCTATGAAATTTATATGCATTATTTAGAGATCAGTAAAACGATGAAGCTTATTAGATTTCAACAATTTCCGTTGATTACATCTATGTTATGGCCCTGGTTTTGAACATCGTCCAAGCTAGGTTAATATTCATAGATTAGTAAAACTAAGAAACCTATTGAATTTCATCAATTTCCGTCGAATATTTCTAGAGTTATGGCCCTTATTTCACTTTGTTGAAAACCAAAGTTATCGACCGATCTGTATTAAATTTATATGCATAATTTAAATTAGTAATACAAAGAAACCTACTGAATTTCATCAATTTCCATTAATTACTTCTAGAGTTATGGCCCTTATTTCTTTTTGTTGAACCCCTTGTGAATTCTCTAACCTCAACAGTTATCATCCGATATGTATTAAATTATGTATATTATTTAGCCTATTTCAGCAATTTCCATTAATATCTTCAAGAACTATGGCCCTCGTTTCACTTTGTTGAAGCTTGTGAACGCTATACTGAATATAGCAGCTGCCAAGCAGGATACACCCACATTTTGCAAGAGATGGATAGAGAACAAGCTAAACAAATCCAGTGAAGTGTTCCCAAGCCACTACAAGGCCTACAGAAATGATCGAGGTACTCTCGGAGGAGGGGTATTCATCCTAGTACACCAGGACCTGGTTGCGGAAGAAAGGGCGGATCTTGTGACTGACTGTGAAATCGAGTGGGTCCAAGTCAAACTAAAGGGCAAGAAGACTCTATTGATATCAGCATTCTACATGCCACAGAGGAACCTCTCAGATATAACTGCACTACGATCCTCACTTGAACTTGCAAATTCCAACAAAGAACGTCACACCACGGTAGCTGGGGACTTCAATTGCCCAGACATAGACTGGCACTCACTCTCGGTACGGAAAGAAGCACAAGACAGAGAAGTCCAACAGGCTCTACTTGACCTGTCCATTGATTTCAACTTATCCCAAGTCCATGATAAACCAACAAGAGAAAACAACCTACTTGATCTTGTCTTTACATCAAATTCGTCACTAATCAAATCCTCCACTAATGCTCCGGGGATCTCTGACCATGACATGGTAGTCGTCGATTCAGATATCAAGCCATTCTACGCCAAGCAGAAACCCCGAAAATGCTTCTTATTCTCCAAAGCCAACTGGGACCAGCTGAAAATTGAAATATCCTCTATCTCCCAGGAAATAAGCCAACTTTACGTAAACGGTTCATCTGTCCACACCTTATGGAATACCTTCAAGGAAAACCTAAAATCAGCCATTAACAAGAACTTTCCATCCAAAATGAAAACATCAAGTAACTCTCCACCATGGATAACAAGGAAAGTAAAACGCGTCCTTAGACGCAGGGCCAGAATTTATAAAAGAGCTAGAAAAACCAATGACTGGACCCAATACAGAAGATTTCAAAAGGAAAGTAAACGCGAGCTCAGGAAGGCAGAATGGTCACACATCAACTCCGTCATAAACCAGGGTCTACAAAACAACAATTCCAAACCATTTCGGAACTACGTTAAGTCCAAAAAAGAAGACAGTATTGGGGTAGCACCACTACGTAGTAAACACGGCACACTTATCAGCGACTGCAGTGCCAAGGCAGAGACTCTTGTAAACCAATTCCAGTCAGTTTTCACCAAAGACAAGGGAGACCAACTACCCAAAGTACAAAGGTGAGTTGATGAAGATATACCACCCATCAAGATAGGAGAGGAAGGCATTTTGAAACTACTACGCAACATCAAGGTCAGCAAAGCCTCAAGCCCAGATGAGTTACCCAACAGAGTTCTCCAAGCCTGTGCAGTAGAAGCAACACCTGCCATCATCTGTATCTTCCAGAAGTCGGTCGACTCTGGTGATTTGCCCAAAGATTGGAGAAATGCAAACGTTGCCCCAGTCTTCAAAAAAGGAGATAGCCATGCACCAGAGAACTACCGTCCAGTATCACTCACATGTGTCCTATCCAAACTGCTAGAGCACATCATTTGCCATCAAATGTTGAATCAGCACATGATCTCTACACAATTACTACGACAAGAACTAACAAGTCGACACAGCGATACTGGACTTCAGCAAGGCGTTTGACACTGTGCCTCACAACAAACTTCTCCACGATCGAGTCCTATGGAATACGAGGAGCAACACTCAAGTGGATCACAAACTTTCTTACGCAGCGGAAGATGAGCGTCATAGTTGAAGGTGAGCGATCCCAACAGGTTAACGTAGCCTCCGGCGTCCCACGAGGCACAGTACTCGGACCTCTACTATTCCTCTGCCATATCAATGACCTCCCAGATAGAGTTAAATCCCATATTCGTCTTTTTGCCAATGACTGCTTGATATATCGTGCCATCAACTCAATGACAGACCATATACAACTCCAAAAAGACCTAGATAACCTCCAAGAATAGGGCATGGAATTTAACGCCAAGAAATGCTATATTTTCAGCACCAAAAGCAAATCCAAATTCTTTTACAACATCAAAAACAACATACTCCAACAAGTCCAGAATAATCTACCTTGGAATTACCCTATCCGATGACCTTAAATGGAAAACGCACATCAACAACATTTGCAAAAAAGCCAACTCAACGCTAGGATTTCTCCGCAGGAACCTAAGACACTGCCCTAAGCCATGCAGGAAGAACGCCTATATTGCACTAGTCCGATCCAAACTTGAGTACGGAAGTGTCGTCTAGGATCCTTACTTGAAAGGAGACATCGACCGCTTGGAGAGGATCCAAAGATCAGCAGCACGATTTATAACGGGCGACTATAAATCCAGGCAGGAAGGATGCGTCACTAATATGCTCAAGGAAATGGAACTGCAACCACTTGAAGAGAGACGCCGTCACCAGCGTTTGGCATTCCTATTTAAGGTGATTGAAGGGCACGTACCAGCCATTAACATTGATCACTACCTCAAGGCTAAGCGACTTAAGAGAACTATTCGGGCTAAACAATTTGAAAACTACAATGTATGTTAAAACTAACATCGTAGAAAAATCAGTGTGTAACAACAACAAGTGCTTCCAGCCAATTAGTGCTAAAAGTGACATATTCAAATACTCATACTTTGTACGAACTGTATACGACTGGAATAAACTCAGTGATGATACAGTGAACTCAGAGTCAATCGAAGTATTCAAATCTAAACTAGAAAACATTAACTAGCGCACTCCATCCGTCGGGTTAAAGCCAGTAATTGGCATCTACGACTGTTCATTCAGATTCAGATTCAGATATTTCGTACAATCAAGGGCCATAATTCAGGAAGTTACTATCCGATATGCGCGATTATCAACAGGAACCAAGATCTTTGGGTTATAAAGATATATTTCCTCAAGTTTCATCAAAATCGGATCAAAATTGTGACTTCTAATAGACGGTCCACAACAATTGATATTCCATATTTACTCTATTCTATTTGCGTACGAGGGGTGGCCATTTTGTCAGGCAATTTTGGTCCGATTTTCACGAAATTCGGACTCAACCATCATTAGGGTGTAATGGTCATATATTCAAACTTTTTTTTTTAAATCGTATAAAATTGTGACCTCTAGAGGGACAACAAGCTAAAAACGTAATTTTTCGTACAACCAAGGGCCACGATTAAAGCAGTTATGATCCGATATGCGCGAATATCGAAAGGAACCAAGATCTTTGGGTTATAAACATGTATTTCAAGTTTCACTAAAATCAGCCAATTTAAAAACTTGACACTCGGGATTTTTGGGACTAGATTTTTAATATTTGGTTTAAGGCAACTATTTTAGTGTTATGTAGTGCACAGGCGACCTTGACATCAACAGAAAGCAAGAATACGTCTCGCCGAAAGTCCTTGACATTGATAACGTTCGTGATGTCACAGTACCCCCCAAAATGAAATTCACAGACTTGGAGAACAATCGAAATAAAGTGTTCAGTAACGGTTGTGGCCTCCTCTAGCGTCTTGAACTGCCACACAACGTCTTCTCATGGATCTCAGAACATTAGTAAACACTACCCGAGGAAGACGTCGCCACTGCTCAGCAAGAGCATGTTGAAGGTCCTGCAACGTCAGTTGTGGATTCACTTGCTGACGAACACGTCGACCCAGTTCGTCCCAGATGTGTTCAATAGGATTAAGGTCGGGGCTAAGCGACGGCCAATCCAGGACTTGGACACCGGCATTTCTTAAAAAATTATGGGTAGTAATTGCTGTATGGGGTCGAGCATTGTCTTGTTGAAACGTTAGTCCAGGCCCATGTCTCTGCATAAACGGAAGAAGAACAGGTTGCAAAATCTGATCCCTGTACTGGACAGCATTTAAGTTCCCTTGGACAACAACAAGAGGAGAACGTCCATGTGCACAAAAAGAACCCCAAACCATGACGCTGCCGCCACCAAATCGGTCAACTTCTCTGACGCATACTTGAGCGTAACGTTCACCTCGACGACAATAGCGACGACAATATACGTCCACATGAAAATGTGGGCGTAAAAAAGTTATCGTCCGATCTGTATTAAATTTATATGCATTATTCAGATTATAGTATAACAAATAAGCCTATTAAATTCAGGC